CCTCCCTCTGGCCCCGGCTCCTCTGAGCGTTTAAAGAGACAGCCCCGCTGCCACCAGGGCTGGGCTGCACGCGCGGCTGGGCGTCCCCCACCCGCTCCTCTCCACCAGCGCCTCCCGGGAGCGGGAGGGGGATGCTGGGAGCTGGAGATGCCGCTGAGACGCAAAATGAGGAGCTTAGCTCAATAGTCCCGCCTAACTCTGCTCCCCCTCTTCCTACCCACCCAGCACACTCACCCAAACCCGCCAAAGAGGCGCTGGAGCAATGGCTTTTCCCCTCCTACACCAACCTGCTCACAACCAAATCAGCTGTGCAGCAGCCACCTCAGAGACCAAAAGGAGGCTGACTTTTCATTCTGTCTGGTTCTGTGCGCCCCCAGTCCCGAGAGTCCATCAGAACACAGGATGGGGGGGTGGAGAGGCGGGGTGTTTGAAGTGGGAACCAAAAGGCAGTTGATTGAGTCAAGTCTCCTGCCAAAAAATAAAAATAAAAAATCCACAGTGGCAGGACACATCCCGGGCTCATTCAAAAATCCTCCTTCCTCAAAATGGGCTAATCTCCCTTCATTTTATTTGGCCACCACCTCATCCCCTTCAGGCATCAGAGATTTCAGGAAGATCCAACCTTTCACAAACCCACTCCCTCCTTTCCTTCACACCAGCTTCTCTTCTCCCCATGCGCCCGGGAACAGCCAGTTGGGAGCCCCCATGGCCTTTCCAGAAGGGAGCAGCGTCTGCTCTGGATGGGAAGCTCTGGCTGCGGTGCTGGCCCAGCTGCCTGGGACGCATGGCCAACACTAGCCTCGTGGCCAGCAGCTCCGGCCCAAGGCCATGCCTCTACCCAGAGCCAGCTGCTGTCTGGAAGGCGACAAACCTCTGGAGTCTGTCCGTGGAAATAAAAATCTATGGTGCATCGTGCCTTCCAACAAGGACAGCCCAGGCTCTGAAGCCATAATCTTCAGTTTAGCCCTGCAGAAAATGGATAGATCTGCGGTGGGACAACTTTTTTGCTTTGATTCCTAAACTTACCAAAAGTGGCTCTCCAATGACTCGTTCACAGTCAGATAGTACTTAAAGGGATACCACCTGACTTGCTCAGTCCTGGGAGCCCTGAAATAATCTTCCCCACATGGTCTTCTGGGCTCCCTTTTGCCCTTCACAGTTGAATTAACCATCTGGCTCTTAGTTTCATTCTTCTGAGCTTTTGTTCTCCCTTATTTTCTGTCTGCTTCCCCTGCAACTAAAGAAGCAATCGGGCACTTACAGGAGAGAATGAGGAGCAAAGAAAAAGATGGGGGTGAGATAGAACTCTCCAGAATTCTTAAACATCTTTGACTTTTCCCTCCTTGATTTGTGGATTTGGAATTCACGCCACACTGCAGCGTCTTCTCTTTTCTTAGGCATACCTATGTCTTTTACCTTTTTATTGAAGTGTAACTTTAAGGTGAAAATCATAAATATACCACTAGATGATATCTGTATCTTTTGAGAAATGTCTTTAGGAAAGAATTTTAGAGCAGGTTGCACAATAGTAATTATCATTTGAACCTCCTTATTTCATAAAAGAGGAATTCATTGTCCCTTATTTTCCTAAGCCCCAGTTACTGATGAACCAGACCTCCAATTTCAGAGAGAATGGACCTAGGGGCAGTGCTGACACTGGTCAGAGATGCAGTCACTTGGCTAACTCTTAATTACTTCTGATGATGACGGGTCCAGCATGGGTCAAATGCATTGATTGTTTTAAAATTTATTTTTAACTTTTATTTTTAACTTCTACTAAACCTCTTTGCCACTTTTGTTATCAAGTATCCTATTCTCCTCCTCTTTCTCTTCTGCTAAGATGCTAATGACCAACAAGGCAGGCAGGGCACTGCGGGGAAGGAAAGAAAGAAAGGGGAACTGGATAATTCACAATAATGGTGGCTCCTGAACTGAGGCAGGGCTGTTGTTTTCCTCTTCTGGGTATAAGCAAATGCAGGTGAAAAGATTAATCCTCTGTATTGATTCAATTTCTAGTTTATCTCTTGGATGAAACCTAAAGACTCCAGGTTATTTCACTACAGTTGAATCTTAATTGTTTAATGAAAATTTATAACAGACCCAAAGATGACAGTATAGATTAACTGTACCCTGAAATTCACTGTGATTCGCTAAGCCTTTCTTTGCTTCTGGACTAGTTTTAACTCTGCAGGGCTCTATCTTCACCTAATCTCACTCCCTCCTGGAGTGTAAAAAGTTCCTAATCATTTCCTTTCTTTATAGTACAGAAAGCCTTGCATAAATTATAGACCTCCTTCATTACAAGGCTAAATTTTGTGTAAGCTATAGCTGAAACTCAGAACTATCTTAAGAGCTAAAGAATAATGAGAATATGCAGGAATGTATGCAAATTATCCGACTGCATGATTGTTGAGTAAAGGACAGTTTAGGTACATGGGAAGTGAACCAGTAAATTAAAAGCACAAATTAGAAACATTTCCTTTTATGTATGTACATTGATTTTAAAGCGATATTCATTCTAGATGAACATTTAAAGCATTTTGGATGTGACAGGGTAAATGTGATAAGTGTGAACTTCATAAACTGAGGCTGATTTCAAATTATTCTAGCATGGATAATAATATGAACACAATGCCATGTAAGCAATTATCATTAAATGAAGCATACTTTTCTAGTGTAAGGATTTAAAATTTTGCCATGTACTGGGAGACCTTAATTTGAATTCAGTTCTCCTTTTGCTGTCTATTCATATAATTTTAAAATAATTGGAGCTTTGCTTTGATTGGTTGGTTATGTTATATCTCTAAAACAGGGGAGCATTCTGAAGCCTGTTAGTTACAGTCTTACATATTAAAAGAGCAATGCAGTTTGGTCATTTGGGGATGCTATGAACACACAAAATGAAGCTAGATACAGACAAGACAATTCATTCAGCATGTATTGCCTAAAGTGAACAACATTTTAAAATGAACAGTTCAAGAGAATGAGCCTCATACACAAAGAACCAATTTTAAAAATTAAGAGAGAGGGAAGTTCTGTGTTGATGGCATCTCTTGCTCAAACATAAATTTCATGGGGGGGGGATTAAACATCGTGAATTGAGTTTTATTTTTTTCTTTTGAATGATCTTTCACACTGCCAACCTGGACAGGCTCTTAAAAATGGATTTGATATGGCAGACAAATGTTCCCACTGAGAGGAGTCCAAAGGATTTGGTGGGGCCTCCGGTGGGAATGCCACATGCCACCCCGCTCTCTCCAGACCTGCATCAAAGGAGCCATAAATCTAACCAGCTTCCCCCTTGTTAGGAGGAGGCTGGGTAAGCCAATTTCATGCTTTCTGTATGCAGGCTATAGAAAGGAATACTTACCTACAAAGAAATAGATCAAACAGATGTTCTGAAAATCTTCCTCAGCTTCGGCTTGAAGCTTTGCAGTCCCCACATACTTTATCTTCGTGTCTATCTTCCTCTAATTGAGAATTTGTTGATCCATGCAGTTCGACAGGCAGTCTGCAGAAACCTTCCTGCCAGAGCTTTTCAGCCCTGCTCGCCTTCTGTACACAAAAACTTCCAGTATCTGTGTGGGAACAGGCCACTTCATTCGGCAGGTGTTGTGGGTTGAAAGAGGAGGAGGTCAGAAAGCAATTCTTCAAAGGACAGCTTCTGTCACCTGAACGTGTAATAAATTGCCATTATAGAAATGTCTACAAGCACTAATGAGCCATGTACATTGAAATCTTGATGTCAGGCAAAACAGAATGAAATTCGCCCAGACCCCAACTGGAATTGTCACACCAAGATGTGAATAATCATTCTCACTTTGGTTTCATCTGCCGTTAAGTTTTGCCCCTACAATCCAATAGCTCTCTCTGTGTTAAGGAAAATAATAAATCCAGTATAAAACTCCTAAGATATGTCTCATGTACTTTTATCTGTATAATTGCTCAGTACTACACTACTCATTAGCCATAAAGACTTGATCAATCAAATGTGAGTTACAACAGAACTACAATTCCAGAATTACATACATTTATTAGAGAATAATTAGAAGACTAGCCCAGGTGCATGTTCTTTTTTTGAAACTATACTTTGCACAGCTAATTTGTGTGTGTGTGTGTGTGTGTGTGTGTGTGTGTTAAAAAACAAAACATAACCCTAAATTTACTATCTTAAGTAATTTTTAAGCATACAGTTCAGTAGTGTTGAGTATATTCATGATGCTGTGCAATAAATCTTTAGAACTTTCTCATCTTGCAAAACTGAAGCTTTGTTCCCAGGAAACACTAGCCTTGGCAAATACCTTTCTAATTTCTGATTCTATTATTTTGACTAGTTTAGATGTTTTGTGAGTAGAATAATACAGTATTTGTTCTTTTGTGACTGACTTATTTCACTTATGATAATGTCCTAAGAGTTCATTCATGTTGTAGCATGTGACAAGATTTCCTTCTTTTTTTAAGGCTGCATTATATGCCATTGCATGTATGCACCACATTTTGTTTATCCATTCATCTGTCAATAGACATTTGGGTTGCTGCCATCTCTTGGTTATTGTGTATATTGCTGCAATTAACATGAGTGTGCAAATATTTCTTCAAGATTCTGCTTTGAATTCTTTTGTGTATATATATATATATACTCAGAAATAGTGCCCTGGCCAGGTAGCTCAGTTGGTTAGAGAGTCAATCCGATAAGTCAAGGTCGCAAGTTCAATCCCTGGTCAGGGCACATAAAATTATATCATAGCCCATGGACATGGGCAATAGAGGGTGGGTAGAGGCTGGGAATAGGTAGGTAAAGGGGGGATGTGAGACATCTGTAGTACTATAAACAATAAAAAAATTTTTAAAAAAAATCAACCAATGAGTGCATAAATAAGTGGAACAATAAATTGATGTTTCTCTCTCTCTCTCTCTCTCTCTCTCTCTCTCTGAAATCAATAAATAAACACTTGCTATTACTTTTGCTTAAATATTTGTTCCCCAAATTTGGCATGATCTTTTTTTAGGTGGCCATCTTAATGGGTGTGTGATGATATCTCATTGTGATTTTAATTATATTTCTCCTATGATTAGTGATGTTGAACATATTTTCCTATATATTTATTGTCTATTTGTATATCTTCTTTAAATAATTGTCTATTGAATCCTATGCCTATGTTTTTTATCATAATTTGTTTTTTATTGTTGATGTTTCTTATATATTCTAGGCATTAACCCCTTATCAGATATATGATTTGCAAATATTTTCTCCCATTCCATAGATTCACTTTCACTCTGTTGATTGTTTTCTTTGACACACAAAACTTCTTAAGTTTGATGTAGTACCATTTGTCTTTTTTGTTGTCGTTGCCTGTGCTTTTGGGGTCATCTTCTAGCCAAGAATAAACTTAGTGTGTTCTAGAAAGTCACAAAGAGAAGAAACCTAACCAAATAGGAGGAAAAGCAATTGAGGGTCAGGACTGTGCTATGTCTAAGATAGACCATGATACAAAGAAAAACAAACCATGATACAAAGCAATACCATATGTGTTTATTTTATTTCATGGATTTCTTCTGTCTTGCACTATTCTGTCCTATCTTCTCCACCACTTCTCTACCATCAATCATTAACACAGCCCTGTATTGTAGTAAACACACAGAAGAAAGCTTTTTTGGCTAATATATCTGCATCTTTTTCATGTCTTGGAATTAGTCTATTACCACATAAATCATTCCCCTCCATTTCTATCTACTCCACTCCATTTTCATTTTTCAATGTAATATTTATTATCCCAGTGTCCTAGTCACATTTGAAATAGTAGTAACCTATAAGATTTCACATTTTCTGAAAATGCAAGACTCTTTGTATAGAAATTATAATGAGGCTGGCTGGGCAATGTTCTATTATTAGTAAAAATTGTGATTTTTAGAGTTGTAGGTTAATTGCTAATAACTGTATGCAGTGTTTTCCCTAAAGATGTTTTCTATTATAGTAATTAACTGAGCAGCTGGGAGAGCTGACATTAACCATTTGTCTTCACAGTAGCCCTCACTGGGGGCTCTCCCAAAACCTTTGCACATGGCTTTATTTTCTAGTTGATGGGAAATGTAAGAGAGAAGCATAAAAGATATAGGATGTTCACACTTTGGAGCGAATATCCAATTTACAACGATTTTTTCTTCCTGTTGAAAGGATTCTTTCTTAAACACATGATGAATAGATTATGAGAAACACAGAATGTCTTTTAGATATATGGACTTATTTGGCTTGTATTTATGTTCATATTTTCCTTAGTATCCTCACAGAATGAAATTTTGTCACAGTGATTGTGTCAGAAGCCTGAGCTACCCTGAAGACACCACTGGTTTATCTGTTTACATATTAGATTGGACCAGTAAGAGCCGGCTCATACCAAAGAAACCTGTTCAGTAAAGCTTTAGGGGCCATCTTGCCACAGAGCCCTATAATTTTTCATGATGCATGAATTCCCATTTGATTACTAACTCAGCTCTACCCCTTGATTTTGTCTCCCAGATCTCCCTCTGGGACTCTTGAGGCTTCTTGGTGTGAACTCCTACCTACTGTCTGATGTGGTCCTAATCTCAAGACTATATGCAAAATCCAATGTTTGACCCAGGTTCTCCCGACCAAGTCTGCTGTTGCCTGGTATCCATCTCGGTCAAGTTCTATTCTACAGCATGTTTTTGTTTTCAACAGGGAATGTTTCATTTAACATATATTTTTTAAATATATTTATATTGATTTTAGAGAGGAAGGGAGAGGAAGAGAGAGATAGAAACATCAATAATGAGAGAGAATCTTTGATTGGCTGCCTCCTGCATGGCTCCTACTGGGGATTGAACCCTCAACTAGAGCATGTGCCCTGACCAGAATCAAACTGTGACTTCCTAGTTCATAGGTCCATGGGTGTTCCAGCTACTGAGCCATGCTGGCTGGGCATCATTTAACATATTTTTAAATGAGATGTCTCAAACCAAAGTAGAGACTAAAAAAATAAAAATAAATAAAAAATAAAACTAAACTTTTAGGTACATAAGAATTCTTTATCTTCCCTCTGGCTGCATAAAAATAATAAATTCAATACTGTTCAGATCCCATTGCTTTTTTTTACCCTATTTTTCCAGAGGCATGAATTTTCTTTCTTCTTCAGATTACTCCTTTTTCTTTAAATCCAGAAAAGCTCTGGGTTTATACTGTCTGGAGGTGTTGCTTATAGGAGCCTCAATAGAATGAATGATGTCTAATTTACACTAATTCCAAAGAAGCCACACAGATAAGAGCATACTAAGCCTCTGGTGAATGGTTAGGCCCCAGTTTTCCTTTCCCTCTGAAAAGACGCAGGATCCTGACCCTCTATGCATGACTCTTCGGGGTCACTAGCTTGGAGGCTTCACCCATTCAAGACCACACTCCTGCGTCTAAATTTTGCAAGTCTCAAAGTTTCACCTCATACTTTAGAGAGTGATATGTATCAGGTTTTGAAAGCAAATGATGTTGTGGTATAATAGGAAGGAAACTTTCCACACAGAAATATTTCTACTGGAAATCCCAATGAGAGCCTGGGCTGTTAGCTGGAACACCCATGGATACAGGTTGACAAGACAGACTCAGGTAGGACTTAGAATCTGGTGTAGATACCTTTAGGAGAGCAAGTTTCAATGCGGTTATAAGTTGAGAAATCAGGCCTGTAAGTGAAAGACTGTGGTCCTCAGGGTCAGCAAAAGCTTCAAGCAAAGGTAGAGCAATAACCTGGTTGCCCTCCTGAGAGAGAAGTTGCTCTGACCATTTGGATATAGACAAGGGAGCTCTGAGGTAGCCTGCCTCTTCCTTTAGCTTGACTCCATGGACTCGCTTGCCCTGTGCAACATCCAGACCTAAGTGATGCTATCTGCTTAATTTTTTATACACAGTGCCTTGCAGGGAAATGTTTTAATGAAACCTTTTTGATTTACTGGTCAGTTGAACCAATTTTGGGAAAGCCCTGCAAAACATGAATTAAAATACAAATTGAATTTTTTAAAAATGTCAGCTTGCATAGTCCAAAGGAAGATAAGCTCTTCTTAACTTGCCCTCACAATTTTTCTCATGGCAGACCTCTTCCTGATATACTCCTAGCAATAACTAATATTGGAAAGCCAAACAAAAAAAAACAAAAAATCTGCCCCATTTTCTGTCCACCTAAAAATAATTCAAATGATAAAATCTGAGTCGATTGTTTCAAATTCACATCCAAGTGTTTTAATTTTATTGTCCACTTCCTCCATCCAATTTTATTTTGAGCTCTTTAAGATGGGAAACATGTCTTATACTTATTTATACCATTCAAAGTAGCAGACTGTCTTGGGTAAGGTCATGTTGAATGATAAAATTGTTTTAATTAAAACTCAAGTTTTCTTAAGGCCAACC